AACAGGCTAATAGTTCTGGGGGGAATAACCCAAAACACATGGTCAATGGCAACAAGAAGCAGTATTGCTTCCAGAGACGCAGTGGAGTGGCAGTTGAGGTCAGGAAATTATTTTTGGGTTTGTAATGTGATATTACAGCAACAAAGACCAGTGCTGTTTTGAGACATGCGGAGGTCATGTCCCAACTGGGGAGGTAATGCTCTCGTCTGTTGAACTACAGTTTGCTCAGTGCTGGAATATTGCAATGCATTATGTTCTGGGCTTCTCCCTACCAAAATATTAGGGTCTAATGTAATAACTCTGTTGGTCAGCAGGTAGCAGATATAATCCCATGCTGCCAGCCTACTAGTGATACCCGGGGTTGTCAAAATATTGCTGCCACTTTTTGTAATAGCAAGGGAGTTAATTGTTGCCCTACTCAACTTGGAACTCACTTGCTGCAGGCTGTTAAAGGGGTGCTTTGTTGCTCCACAGAAGTGGCTGCATTTCAGTTGTATACAGATTGGTTCTCCCCCGAGATCTTCCAGGAAGAACAGTGTTGTATAAACGTAAAGTTTAGCTTGTACCATGTAGGGCTGAGATTTCAAAGGGGCCTAAGGTGAGACAAACGTGGGAATTTTATGTAATGTTTTTATGAGCTGTTTGTGTAACTAGAGCCCTGCAAATCCACAGATACCCACTTTATATCCATGGGTATCTGCATCCACGGATGTAGATATCACTTCTTTGGGGAACCAGCCAGGGAACCAGCCAGGGAACCAGCTCTTGCTTCCCAGGAACCAACGTTGCCCCCAACAGATTAAGGCAGAGAGCAAACTCTCCTACTGTCAGCAAGCAGCTCCCCCAAAATAAACCATACCAGGAAACTAACCCAACACAGCACTTATTCTAAGACAGGACAGGGTTCTCGCAGCACCCTCTGGTGACTCCCATCACAATAGACACAATAGATGCAATAGATGATAGACAGCATTGGTAATCAGACCCACAACGCAAGGATTATTAAACCAGAGTAACATGCCTGCAGTATTTTAACTGGAACTGTGCAGCGTATAACAACAATTTAAAATGCCTCCTGCAGCAGTGGAAAATTAAAGTCCATTCAAATGTAAATGAGTATAATATTCAGGCTGTTAGCATGTGAGAGGGAAAATTAGATAGAAGAACAATGAAAGATCAATGGAGATGCTGTAGAAGCAGAGAGTTATTGTGATAGCCCTGAGCAGATACAAAATTTGTATTTGCATCTGCAAAAATGATCTGCAGATAACCACATCCATGGATGTGGAT